TATCTCCTCAATTGTTGAAAATGAATGTCCTTTCATGGGTATCTTAAGTTTTAGGAAAAGAAAAAAGTCACTGGGAACCAAATCCGATGAATATGGAGGCTGAGGCATGACTATGATGTTGGTTTTGGCCAAAAATTCTCTCACAAACAACGCTGAAAGAGCAGGTGCATTATCGTGATGCAAAATTCACGAATTGTTTTTCCAAAATTCTGGACGTTTTTAACTTAGTGCCTCTCGCAAACGACGCATAACATCAAGGTAATACTCCTTATTGATCGTACGGCCTTGAGATAAGAATTCCTGATGAATTACCCCACGGTAATCAAAGAAGACAGTGAGCAAAACCTTGACATTTGATCGAACTTGGCGTGCTTTTTTGGGTGTTGTTTCTTCTGGGCTTTTCTGGGACGATTGGACTTTAGTTTCCATATCATAACCATATACCCTTTTGAGAAAATCAAGATCTTCATTCACTTCATTCAACATCTCCTGAACGATGATCATACGACGGTCCATTTGATCAAAATTAAGCAATTTTGGAACGAATTTCGCTGACACACGTCTCCTGCCTAAAATATCTGAAATAATATCATGGCATAAGCCATCTGATATGCCTACATCTTCTGCAACTTCTCTGATGGCGATTCGATGATTTTTGAACACAATTTCTTTCACTGCTTCAACGTTTTCATTTGTTTTTGATGTGCTGGGACGTCCAGGGCGAGAAATCCATTTTTCACACAAAATTTAATGCAAATTGTTTGCTCCATTCTTTTCGATAAAAAAAAAATCGCCGAGCACACCAAATACTTCTAACTTCTAACGTCTCTGCTAGAAAAACAACACGTGCTATATAGTCAAAACTATGAATATATGATCGCGGCAAGTGTACCAATACAAAAACAACAAAAATTCAAAATTTGAATGTACGTACTCCGCGAAAATTGAAAAGTCACCTTACTTTTTGAACTCGCATACGTTGCCTTTAATTTCATAGTGATATAGTTAGTCCAGTAACATGTTATCGTCTACTGTATCGAAAGCTTTAGTAAGATCTAAGGTGTTCGTTATCGAATTAACTGAGTCGAGTTGCCTGTAAATATTACTCAATTTGTAGTAATATAAAGTTTTTTTCGTACATTTATTTTTTTTAAGCCGAATTATTTATTAGATATCAGATTATAATCCTCAATACATTTAATCCATTAACTCTTACAGAACGATTTTTTGAGTGCTGAGTTCCAATTACTACTATTTGGAAAAATTTCAGGAACCACTTTTACCCATGTTTTCGAAGGTATTCTTTCCAATTTGTTGGTTAAAAATCTCGGCCCTTTCACTTGCATGTTCAAGCGTCGAGTTTGCATGTGCGTGATCGTACAGCAATGCCGATCCTCGCGTCGGTCATGACGGTCGGCCGCGTTCGTTGAGTTAAAGGTAAGGTTACTGAGCGATTGGCAGTAATCATCTGTGATGGGCATTATGTGCTGTACGCCATCGTTATTACTAGTTTATGTTTACGTTGAAGTGACATCATTGAATGCACTCTCTTGTACATATCTTTTATTTTTAATTAAAGTGAATTCAGATTAAGCAAATGTTGCTGGATTTTGCCAACTACACAAATACACATAGTACACATGCATACACTATACAAACAAGATAAACAGGCCCGGTCATCTGACACCAACTGTCCGTCACAAGCTAATGAAATTTCAGCATCTGTTCTAAAAAAACGAAAATTTAACTTAGCACTAGTATAAAATTCCATTGAAACTCTTTTTGTAACATAATTTATTGTAAAATCACATCACATATTCGCATTACGCTGTTTAAGAATCACTGGTCCTCGCGATTGTCGTTGTTCTTTGTAAAGAACGACAGACCATAGTCTGACACGTGTTAAATATCAGCGTATTGCGTCATCAACATGTTTTATTGGTATTATATTGCGAAATATTTCTCACCGAGACGAACATTGAGCCATGGCAGTGATTCAGCTATACTAAATCGCTAGCTTGGCACCAAAACTTTGAGTAAGTTTTCAAACAAGCCATGAAACAAAATTGGATCCATCTAAACTTATACTACATACGAAAATTATGGAAACCTCGGGTATACCTTGAATACCTAATTATTATATAAATATATTAATTGATTTTTCAAAATTTTGGTAATAACGCACAAATCATAAACCAAAATACCAGATAAATTTTAATTATTATGTACCTTTCACCAATTAGGTTTCTAGTTTCATGGGATCTTTATTACAATCAAAAATTACACAAATAAAAATTAAAAGATATGAACAATCAAACACTAACATTAAAATTCTAATACACACCTTATTGATAAAAAATAAAAATAATAAACATGCCAAAATGAATATTACGAGAAGAAATTGCCATATCCAATTATATGTCAACAGAAAGACACAACATACCATCATGACTATTGAAATTATACTGAGATTAGTAGAAAATATATTATAATAAGAACTAACTTGACTAATTGAAAAGTTGATAAATTCTTTGGTATTGTTTGCTAAGTAAAGGCGTATCCTTTTGTTTATTATTAGTATAACTACGAGGGTCGTTTGAAAGGTCCGTGCAAAAATAAAAACTGCTTGATTTTTTTTAATAAATCTTTTTTATTTTTCAACATAGTCTCCTTTTAGGCTTATACACTTCATCCAACGCTGCTCGAATTTGTTAATCCCTTCCAAATAATAGGATTTGTCCAAGTCTGTAAAATAGGCATTCGTTTCTGCAATCACCTCCTCGTTTGCATAAAATCTTTTCCCCGCCAGCCATTTTTTCTTATTAGGGAACAAATAGTAGTCCGACGGAGCCAAGTCTGAAGAATAGGGGGGATGTGAAACGAGTTGGATCCCTATCTCCATCAATTTTGCGGTCACAACTGCTGAGGCGTGAGCTGGCGCATTGTCGTGGTGGAAGAGGACTTTTTTGTGGGCCAATCGTGGACGTTTCTCTAGCAACTTGGTTTTTAAATGATCCCATAACGATGAATAATATTCGCCTGTAATGGTTTTACCCTTTTCCAGATAGTCGATGAAGATTATTCCTTGCGAATCACAAAAGACAGTCGCCATAAACTTCTCGGCCGAAGAAATTGTCTTCCCCTTTTTTGGAGCAGATTTCCCCTTGGTAACCCATTGTTTAGACTATTCTTTGGTCTCAGGAGTGTAGTGATGTATCCATGTTTCATCTACAGTGATGAAACGATGCTTAAAGTCTTGCGGATTTTGCTGGAACAGCTGCAAACCATTCTTGCAACACTTCACACGATCTCGTTTTTGGTCAATCGTGAGCAATCGCGGCACCGATCTAGCGGATAGCTTTTTCATGTCCAAATGTTGGTGCAAAATATTATGTACCCATTCGCTCGAGATGCCTACAGTACTAGCAATCTGACGCACCTTCACTCTTCTGTCAGCCATCACCATATCATGGATTTTATCAATGATTTCTGAAATGGTAACCTCAACAGAGCGTCCAGAACGTTCAGCGTCTTTTGTGCTCATATGGCCACTCCGAAAATTTTGAAACCACTTATAAACCATTCTAATCAAAGGTGCACAATCACCATAATGTTTATCAAGCTTCTGTTTAATCTCCTGAGCCGTTTTGCCTTTGAAAAAGTAAGTTTAATCAATACACGAAATTATTTTTCGTCCATTTTTTTACAACCACTCGATTTCTTTGATTGAAACGAATGTAAAACGCAAAGTAATTGGCCGATCTGGCTGAAACTTGATGTGTGCTCTTCCAATATATGCTACTAACTGAAAATAACCTTGATACGCACTATTAGCGCCATCTCTCTGATTTTGCACGGACTTTTCAAACGACCCTCGTATGTGTGTTAATACAGATATTTTCAAATGTATTATTTTTTTCCCTATCAAAAATTTTTACATTAGCAAAATTTAAAAAAATACGATAGGATTTCTTTTAAATGTTTAGGATTGGTAACAATCTATCAGTAGGTATTTTTGTTTGTTCATCAATTCTATTCTTCCAATTACGTTTTAACTACTGCATCTAGATAACTATAACAATATTAGTTTTCGTCTATTTTTCATTTTATCTTTTTTTAATTTAACATTATTGTTTAATTTATGGTTCACAAGTGAAATACCATGTATATTATATTTTTTGAAGATTGATTTGTGGGAATAGAAAAATTGTTATGTAAGGATAGAAACGAATTGTAATTTCCAACAGTATTATTATAATTGAAATTATTATTATTATGAAGATTTTTCTATTTGATTTTTCGAATAATAAGACATACAAGACGTACTGAGATCTACAAGATAATAATTGTTATCAAGAAACATATTTTTAATAATGTTTATATTTATATTATAAATTAGGTGTCAAAAATCTTCTACCTGTAAGAAAATTATTATTGATAACGTCTGCAGATTTAAGAAATTTATTTATTTTATTTTTGCCTAATTGTCTATTCATATTTTTCTTAATATTATAAATATGTAGCATTTGTAAAAATTTATGCCTATCTTATTTCTCTGTGACTGAGATGAAAACTTATTCAAAATTATTAGTATATTTGCATGTTCCGATAAAGTAGAAATTGCATCATCATTTATCACACAGTACATTGTATATTTTTGTAATCCATAGCATGTAATATTTTTCCTACAATTAACAGTGGCATACATTTAGGAATGAAAAATGAAATACATACTTGAATTAGTAACTAAATAATAAATTAGCATTAATCAATACTTTTTTTAGTATGAAATACGAGTATAAAACTTATATATAAAATTTTTGTAATATTTTATTAAATTTTGTAAATTTTTGTAATATCTGCAATAAAATGTTTATAAAACCTTCTAAAAAATATCTAATTTCTAAATAAAATATCTTACTTACGGTATATATTTTAAAAATAGACACAATTACTGTTTCATTTAAATTAATAATATTGATATTTTCAATCTTTTTCAGGTACCATGGGATGCATTAATAACTTTACTTTCTGAGTGTATATATGGTGGAAAAATTGATAACGAATTTGATCAAAGATTGCTAACATCGTTTCTTCGTAAACTTTTTACCCCAAGATCATTTGAATCTGATTTTGCTCTTGTTGCAAATATTGATGGAACCCAAGGAACTCAACGGCATATAACAATGCCAGACGGCACCAGGAGAGATCACTTTTTGAAATGGATAGAATCTCTTTCTGATAAACAAACACCATCCTGGCTAGGTTTACCTAATAATGCAGAAAAAGTTCTTTTAACTACAAGAGGAACAGATTTGATATCGAAATTATTAAAAATGCAACAATTAGAGGATGAAGATGAATTGGCTTATTGTAATGATGAATCTTTAGATTCGCATCGAGAAGCAGATTCAGATGGCCGTCCTACATGGATGAAAACTCTTCACAACTCTGCTACAACGTGGTTACAACTTCTTCCGAAAAGTTTAGTTATTTTGAAAAGAACCATTGAAAATATAAAAGATCCATTGTACAGATATTTTGAACGAGAAGTCAATAGTGGATCAAAACTATTGAAAAATGTTATTCATGATCTACAAGATGTAGTTTTAATATGCAAGGTAAATATTAATTTCTTTAGATTATTTCTATTTTTTTATTATAAATTATATTAATAGAAATTTTTTTAATATTAAGTGAAACGATATTTTCGTTGTTTTCATTATGATCCAACTTTTTGCACTTATATTTTTGCTTCCTTAAAATAGAAGCATTATTTGTACGATTCTAAAATTATTTCTTCATTTCACTTTACTTTATGCTTCCTTAAAAAGAAATGTGTGATATATTTTTCGTTCGACTTCATGGGCACTATTATGAAATGCTCATAAGTAATCGTGAATAAAACTACAGCTTACGTAGGTTTCATGATTGTCATGGAGGATAATGAATGAACACGCATATACGAAAATTACATCTCTAGCAAAAGATGCTACCACGAATGAGAGAATATTAGCAAGCAATACGAGGTGTCGAACTCCGTTCACGAATATGGCGGGATACTCGATGCATGACTCTTGAACTCCTAATATCTACAAATAAAAAAGTAATTATTATTCCTTTGGTCATTATTCTGAATGTTATATTTATATTCTGTTCTCAATTTCTGTGTATGAAAGTGTATTTACTGTTCAAAAGTTCAAAACTTATTCATTGTATAGAATTAAATTGTAAACAAGCTACTGCTTAAGCCTAAATTGAAGTAAAAAGAAAAATAAGAGGAATTTAGTTCGTTTCTTTGCGTAAGAAATAAGAAGATGTAATGGAAATTATGGCACGTATGTGCACACTCTCATACTTGTTCTTTTCTATTTGAGAAACGGTGCAAAGCGATTGGTGGAGCCGAGCGGAGTTACGTAGCGAAATGGAGCAATGAGGCGAAGGAAAGCGACGGAGAATGTAAAACGATGAGAAAGAAAGAGAGAGAAAGAGAGGCGCGAGTTGTGCGTTTAGCTGTTCATGAGAGGATAGATAAATGGAAGCCGATATTTATTTCGTAGCTACGGGCGCCCGTGTTTTTGTAGTTTTTTGGAGGTTTTTTTTTTGTTCAGTAAACGTTATCGCCGAAGACTTTGTTTCGAGGATATACGCTCGGTGTGCAGAGAATACATGAGTATTTCCTTGTGGCTGGATACCGCCCAGCCAGTGTCTATTCCTAACATAGGTGCATGTGGGGAATCGGCAAGATGCGCGTAAACGGCGCTCGCCCGGTCATTTTTCGCGGCAGTCACCGGCAAGTTTTATAGCAATGAGCAATGGCGGCTTCCTTGGTTCACGAGTGCGAGTGAGACTAGCACAATAAGTAAACTGAGTCTCTAGGCCGTGTATCGGGTTTATTGAGGCGTTTGCAGCAGCGATGTATGCGATAAATGCGCAAGCCGGGATTTTACCTAGGCGAGGCACAGCTGCAAATATGCGCCGACGTAGGGTGAATAACTACTGTAATAGTACTACCGACTCTGTGCGTGGATTTTCTTGTTTTTATATAGATTATATGGGCGCTGTAGTTGGATATAAGTGCGAGCTGGAATAGAGTTACTAAAGCCACTAAAGAGCCTAGAGAGCGCGTGTATAGTCAGTTTAGGAAGACTTGCTATATGCGCAATGTAACTTAAGATAGATTATGCAATCGTTGACGTGATTGGGTGCCGAAATAACCCGCTGCTTTGCCGTTTTTCGTTTTTTATTTAGGTTTATGGTTTGTTTACTGCATTTCACCCGTCGCTCGAATTTAGTGAAATTCTGCCCATTGCTTCGAAGAGTAACCTATATATGCATCACCGAGAAGGCAGCCGAAAAGTCAGCATTTGCACGCTTGCATTTTGAAAATTCTCACAGCAACTGGTGGAGACAATGCGTCCGGAAACCGGTGCTTCCCGTCACTCATCTGACTTTCAGTCGGATCGCCTGCTCGAGCGCACTCCGGCTGAAGCGAGGGGTAAAGTCGCTAACTTGAGGTTGCATGAACTTTTGGTGTGAGCTTTGTCTCAGGTGTACTTTTCCAACCAGCCAAGCGAACTTCATCTGACTACAGAAGTGGAAAGTCTGTCGATACTGCAGGAGCCACAACGCCGGAAGATCAAGACATCGACGGCGGGTAATTTTCAAAGAGTCACTTACTTAGATGGACCTACGTAATTGAACATATTATAGATGTTCAAAGTCTGAGACCGATATAGACGCCTATGTGCAGGTACTCTCCGTAGATTACGTAGTACATTCATCACGAAATTCAGGATTGATACAACTAAGAATTGATCAATCCATCTCCGAGCGAGTAATGTAGTTATTCAGTGGTCAACAAGAAGCACGATCGATGTTACTTATTATATATCGACTTAGAACCAGTGAACAAGACTACTCGCATCGACACTTACCCCATGTCGGGGATAAATGTTGTACTCGATAGGTTTTGAAGAGCACGCTATATTTCGAAAATTGATCTGAAAAGCACCTACTTATAAGTATATATATTATCTATTTATTTTATATATACTCTATATATTTTATCTATTTAGCTCCATCCATTCATCTGATAAAAAATGCGTGGCGTTTGATGCGCCGGGCTTTGGGAGGAAATTTGGATGATTTTTGGTCTGGTATATGCTCCTGCAATCTGCATGCGTTTGATGAACACGCTGTTTGGTTGTTCAAGTATTATGTTTTTAAGATATCTTATAGATGAAAACAAGCTGTGACCGGACCTAAATCGCGTATAACCCGTTCTGGATTTTTCAGTGCCGCAAAATATCAAAAAACTACGTTAGTTACTAGAGATGTACATATGTACTCTTGGTTCATCGAATACGAGTCGCATCTGAAAGTACCTCTCATGAAGCTTTTACACAAGAACAAGTTATGGCATTAAAACTCCAAATAGCAGCAAGCATTCCATGTGCTTAAGCATGCTTGAACGGAATTCCCTGTGCTAGTGTGTCCGAATTTTAGTCGATCGTTCAACGTATATTGCGATGCATCGTCCTATGTACTAGGCATTTACTTAATGTAAAAGAACGACGAGTACAATTACCAAGACTGTTATGCGAGTCGCATGCTAAATAAGCACGAGCGAAATTACACTGTGTCAGAATTCAAGTATATATATATCCGAGGCTGCTGTTTGGTATTCAGAAGTTCAGACCATACATCGAACGCCTGCATTTTATTGCCGTCATTGTTTGAAAAATAAGAAAGATCCAACAAGGTACCTAGTCCGTCGAATCCTTGAGCTACGACAGTCGGACTTCAAGTTGTTGTATTGCAAGGAAACACTCTTTTGTGTACCTGATGCGTTATCTCGGAAGATCAGGAGTTAATTAAAAGCAGCAGCATTCGAGATCATCATCGACCACTGGTATTTTTAGCGGCTGAAAGACGTGGAGGCGCAACCACTCAAGTTTTGAATTGGAAGATGGAGTTTAGAATGCTATACAAGTATGGCACTAACGAACTCTTAGACTCGAATTATTGTATTTCTTGTTTCAATTAATTATACAGGTATACAAATAATAAGTCATTTTCTGTATCACAAGCGAGCTATAGTATTCTCAAAGAATTTTGGTGAGCTAAATCTAAATCTGAACTCAGAATTATTCCATCACGTCAGATTTTTTAGATATTGTAACCCTAAAAGTGTAAAAAAACACTGTTTTTTTGATATACTTGAAGTTATGTGTATCGTAAATAAATGTTTTCATAAAAAACTATTTAAAACATCTTAAAGTATAAATATTGTTCTTTTAATTGCCGTTGAGTGTACCCAAATATCTCTTTTTTTCGCTAAGATTTCGCATTTTGATATATTTTTATTTATGAATTTCTCCAAATTCGAAAATCCATTTACCCTTTGCAGCACACTCTTTTGTATTAGCTTTTTTGTTAGTGATTTTGAAAAATCCAAATTCTGTTGCAGATTCGCATTTAGCGACCCCGAAAATTCTCGAGTGAAATTCTTCATGCAAAAACAGCTAATAAAACAATATGTGCTTCAAAGGATTAATAGATTTTTAAATTTTGAGAAAATCATAAATATGTGTATTTCAAAATGTGATATCTTGGCGAAAAAAAAAGATATTTAGGCACATTCAATGGCACTTGAAAGGGAAAGATTTGTACTTTAAGATGCTTTAAATAGTTTTCTGTGAAAAAATTTATTTACGATGCTACACAACCTCAAACATATCAATAAACAGTGTTTTTTGCATTTTTAGGTTAGGATACCACAAAAACTTCACGTGATGGAACAATTCTGAAGCCACATTTCAATTCAGCCTGCAAAATCCTTCGGGAATACTGTAACTTGTTTGTGATACAAAATCTTGTATATCTATGTTATAGTTAAATTTCTGCTTCATAATTAGCTTAAATGCTAGGCCCAAGACTTTGTTCCTTTTGTAAATTGTTTTTTCTGACGTTTTTATTTTCTATTATCTTGATCTTATTTGATAGATTATTGAAGAGTAATATGGCTCTAATGTAACTATTTTTAATACATATTTGTTTCATTCTTTAACGTAGTTACAAGCTGATATTTCTCGTTTTCTTAAATTTGTTTTTATTTATTTGGAATAAATCGTCATAATCATGTAATAATGAATTAAGAGCAAAGGTTATATTAATATAAAGTTGATGTTTTTCTATTATAAATTGATTTTTGTCAATTCTTTTGAATAATCTTGTTTATAAGTTTAGAAGATTTTTTTATTTTATCAAAACATGCTCCGTCCTGTTATTCCATAGGTAGCAACACCATGTATTATTGTATAGTAAATCATTTTCAAAGTCTGGTTATTCATTATTCTTGATGATTTATAGAAGATAATAGTTAGGTAATTTGTTTTCTTATGAGTGAGTAAATTCCTATTCTATTTCACATTACTATCAATAGTAACTCCAAGATGTTTTATGTTAGCAACTCTGCTAATATTTTTGCAAATTTCTTACTTTTTATTGATATATTTTAATTATTTGGTGTGCTATTGTAGTTATTACCAAATTTTATATAGACTGCTTTATCTATATTAAGTGATAGTTTGTTCAATGAAAGCCAATAAAACCTTTT